TATATACTAGCCGGACTAGAATCGCCGTTTTGTGAAACCATGAGACTGTATCTGAAAAGCCGAGATGACCCCAGAGTTACAAAGCCACAACGACGAATGGTCGCAGAGACATAACGACGCTAAATCAATATTGGAAGGGGATCCGATTCTCGAAAGGAGAGACAAATGGAGCACTTCGAGATATCCCAAAAGACACGTGTACACTCGTTATCTCGTCCATGGGTATCACCACCTCCTATGTAACAAAAGCAGCAAAGACAACTTTCATGATCCGGATGACTCGTGTAGATGCATACATTGCGGTGAAGGTTGCCCAAGATATCACGCCCTCGTTTGCGAAATGGGACCAGGGCTTATGAATATGGACTGATTTAAAGTTCTACTGTGCAATAGCATGCAATAAACATATTATAATTACTACGCGGTCAGCGCATGAGCGACACGTGCGCTTCAGATACGGCGTAAACTGCTTCCTGATGGCCGCTCTGAGGCCAACTAAGAAACAGCCGGAAGGGCTGAGGGAACCGACGCACCCCCGAAAGTAGGACTAGGGTCAGAAGTACCTCGCTTGATATCTCCCTATTGAAATTACTCAGGTGGGACCTGGCGAAGGGGGCTTTCGTCGGAGAGTGGAGTGTCGGACTGTTCGATCTTCCTTCCCTTTTGCTGTCGTTCTACTCTTACCTCGCGACGTTATGGATCAACAGTCATGGAAGCCTGAAGACGTCCGACGGTTGTTCATCCGTTCCTCTCTCCGTAGTCGTCGAACACCGCCCGGCGGTTCCTGTCCGACTTCTCCGCTCCTCATTGTACGGGCCGTATCAACGCGGAGCACCCGTTGGCCAACCCGCCTCGGGCGTTTGGCCTACCTTCCTACCGCCGACGACGACGACGACGGCTGCGGCCTGGATGCGGACAGTAGGCGACAGAACAACAGAACAATCGGCGTCACTGGATACCGAAGCTGGATACTCAGGATAACTGCAGACAGCCCAGCCAGCTCCCCATTCAGCCCACTGTTGGCCATCCGGCTAGTGGGGTCCGCTGTCAACGGCCGGCATCCTCGCACGCAGACGAAGGACCTATAGACTACATGGCTGTTGCTGAGCAGCCACAGATACAAGGTCATTGAGAGTACGTCGTTGCTTAGAGCCCGCGACTCGTCGGCTTCCTGCTGGCTGGCTGGCTCTCACTCACTCATGCGTTTGCGTAATCTTCGATGGCGCGATGGTTCTCATTGTCTTCCTCCATCACCCCATCTCCGATCAATCTTCCTTTTTTTTGGGATCGGGATCAGGAAATCCCCGAAGGAAACTCTGGTCTCCGGCAAGGCTCGGCGCAGAAGGGACATGTTTGTGTGCGGTTTCGTCCGCCGAAGCGAGCGCAACAGGGGACAGGCTCACGTCACTGACGACAGGCTACTCCAGAGCCGCCAGACCGCTACTGCTAATGAAATCATATTGTGATACATGGGAGCGGAATCTGTGGAGCAGAGACTCGAGTCGCGAGAGATTTCATGCTATTCCTATGCAAATCCAGAAGAGTAGCTTCTCGCAGAGAGAGCACAGAGTCGAATTGTCTGCGAGCCCGCTCGGAAGCGAACCGGGAGGAAATGTAAAGAGTGAACCTAATTGCTTTTGTGTGGCGAGCTTTAATGATCTCGAGGGAATGCAATGCTCCTGCTATTTGTTTATTCAAGCCTGCATGGAGATCCTGCCAGATTCTGTTGGCCGCACTCTCTCGACAGGCGGGATTGGGAGGAGGATCTGCAGCAGCGGCATCCGTCGATCTCACATCCCCAAACTCCCGCGTCATCCGGACTCCCACTTGAACCTGGGCAGGAGGGCAGGAGGGCAGGAGGGGAGATGGGGGGCTGAGCGAGCAGAGGCTGAGGATCTGATAGAGGGTGGATGCAGAGACAGGCGTTTCTTTTTCGCCGCGCAACCACCCTCAAACTCTTCCTGTATGTGTATCGGTTCGTGTACGTTGTTCACTATCTCGTAGTGTAGCGGTTGGGACAGCGCTGAGAGTCTAATTTTAGCGATGGCGCACCCAACCCTCCCGTATCCACCACCGGCTCGTCGTTCTGAAGGGGGAAAAATAGGGGAGCACGGTCGACGCGAGAGCTATGGGTTGCCCACCCGGGTGGGTTACCCTAGTAGGGCAGCTCCCCACCGTGAGAATCTGTTATCATCTAGTGATCTTCCTACAGCCGGCAGCGAGTGCAATTTGCCGCGATAATTTTCCGGAAGGCTTCCAGACGGCGAGCACTCTGCGACACAAACTACACTCGGCGGGACGACTCGTCCGTCCGAGGGAACGAAGAGTTGTAGAGCGGGAGGGAGGACAGGTGATAAAGATGGAAGCGATTAGACTCGTCCATCCAGTAAGCTTCGAGGGCCAGACGTATCGCGGTCGATGGATTTATTGGCTAATCCATCTCTTTGCGGTCGCTCTGCTTGCAATCATATCCGATTCATCCGAGTCATATCCGATTCGTGATACCCAACGATCCGGTCCGATAATTTTTTTTGTTCCAGGGCAAGTACACCGTCGGCTTGGGACAGAACAAGATGGGCTTCTGCAATGACAGGGAAGACATCCACTCACTGGCCCTGACCGTTGTTTCTCGGCTGTTGGAGAGAACCGGAGTTAAAACCTCGCAAATCGGCCGTCTCGAGGTCGGTACGGAGACCCTCGTTGACAAATCGAAATCAGTAAAAACTGTGCTCATGCAGCTCTTTGGTGACAACACTGATGTTGAGGGTGAGTTCAATTCGAGAATAGTTTCCCCGTCGGATGAGCTTTGGATGTCTAGAGTTTGTGTTCTTGGACGGTGAGACTGAAAGGAGCATATATTCAAACTCTGGGGCCGATTTCATAAGAATGTCGAGGCGGGAATACACGGTGGGACGGGATTCGATATACCGTGTGTCTCCGAAGCCGCAGTCTCGGGTCTCTCTCGATCACCTCTGGACTCGTTAGAGATTAGGGTGGCTCGAACGCCCTCGTCAGGTCAGCCTGTCAATTGATCGGAATCCTCTGAAGACCTTTCCGATTCGAAGCGATCATTCACCTGGCCTCGCCAGCGGGCTTGATTATGTCGGCTGGACCTGCTGGAGATCAACTGTTAGAGATCTTAGTTAGCGATGTCGGGGCCAAGCGTCGCCGAGTCCCGTCAGGGAATATTCCTCTCGAGTCGGCCGACGAGATCACTCGGAGTCCACAAAAACTCTTCTCATCAGCGCGAATCCCTCACTGGTTTCCGCTGGCTCCCTTTTAGGACCGCGCCTGGGTAGCGAGAGAAGGAGATCGAGTTCGAATTGCGACAAATATCCCGATCTCTTTTTCTTCACACACTTGACCTGAGACTCCTTGAGGACATGCCCTTCGCGGATCCCTTTTCCGTGAGTTCCCCTGCGCGACATCGATGAGGTAGAGTCTCTCCAGCACTGCACGCGACCGGAGATTTCCGCTAGCCGCAAGCTTCGCGTCGGCTCCAGTTAGGAATTTCATTTCCTGAATTGGGCTCAATCTCGCGTGACACACGGCCCGCCATGAGGGCAGAGATGAAGTTGTAAAGCTTTTACTATCCAAGGTAGTGATGCGGCCACCGCGACCGCAACTACCCCTGATAGAGTTCTCGTCTTTGTTGCTGTTCCTCTCAAGGGCTTTTCCTTGACGCGGGGAAGAATCACTCCGCCGGCGAGGTGAAATGGAAGATTTATTGACAAGCGAGGGAGAAGGGGAGAAAACCATGCAGAAACGGAGCTCGGACCGCCCAGTAATCCGCGTGCGCGGGGTCAGAATCCGAGACGGACTCGTGCCGCAGCACACGGTCGGAGCAGAAGGACAATGTCAACGACGAGAAGTTGACGAGAGTGTACTGCGAACGCTGCTCGTATGAGTCTCCCTTAGGTTATGGCGGACTCCTCCGTCGTGTATATTCATTTTTCTCGACGGTCCTCCCTCTCCTCGGTGCTTGCCCAGACGGCTCCCTTGCCTACGATGGAAAATTCTCGAGGCAGGCCTGTTCGGCGTCCGTAAGTGGGTCGCCGGAAGATTGCGTGCTCAGAAGCTGTGCGAGGAGTACTAAGACGACACTATGTTTCCGCGGTCACAGCCGTCGTAGATGGAGATGTTACTAGCTGCCGCGTCATCAGGCATCCCTTTGAGCCCTGATCCTGTGCCGCCTCATTCTTCTGGCTCGTTCCTAGCGGCTGCGCTCGGGTCTTCTGATTTTTATTTTTTCAGTCTTGCTTCGAGTCACGAGAATGATGCCCGCTGAGCGTGCCTTCGGCTGTTGCAAACATCAACAATAACATTGATAGTGACAAGAGCAGCGACAGCTACGAGCACAACAGTGGAGGACACTGGGTCCTGCTGGGAACGATTGGCAATCGCTCGCTGCCGCCTAGATTCTTTATTCATCGGCGGTCGCATTGTCCTCGGCTTCATCGTCCCGTTCGTCGGCGGCAGCGCCGCCGTCCTCCCGATTCCCCTCGTTCACCGACGCTTTCCTTTGGATCAAGTTGTTCCCTCGAAGGCTGCTCGTTGAATCTCACCAGTCATCGCATCTGCTCTGACCGCGACAGACACGGAGAGTGAAAAAATCTCGATTGACTTTTGCTCGAAAACGTGGCATAGACTGTATGCTCTACGCCATACAAGCAGAAGGCATGGTCCCTCGCTCGGCGCGAAGACCTTGAGCTTGAGCCAGTCAGGGTTACTCGAACGGAGGAAAGCTCAGCTCATCGCTCCTATGGAAATCTCGATGTACTACGAGCTACGAGGCGCGGAGTCTCTCTACGAGTCCTTCGCGGGTTCATATTGCTCCTGACATTCCTGGAGGCTTCGATAGATGACGGGTCGAGGGGAGGAGAGTCGATCGCACAGACCAAACCTTTGTCTAATTCGCTGCTTCTATCGCAGGTATTGATACAACGAATGCATGCTATGGTGGCACGCAGGCTCTTCTGAACTCAATTGCGTGGGTGGAATCCTCCGAGTGGGACGGTCGCTGGGCGCTCGCTGTAGCCGCGGACATCGCGATATATGCAACGGGACCCGCTCGACCCACCGGCGGCGCTGGAGCCATAGCGATGCTCGTAAAACCCAAGGTAGGACTCATTGATATGATCATTCACATACGTATTTCAATCCGAATTCTACGATTTCGCGATCCGCCGATTGGTGGGGGAGGAGACGATGAGCTACAGTATGTCTGAACTTGGTCATCGATCGATAAACAAGCCGCCTTGCGTTCCAGGCCCCTCTCGTGTTGGAACGTGGAGTTCGAGCCTCGCACATGGCTCATGTGTACGATTTCTACAAGCCGGATATGCTCTCCGAGTATCCAACAGTTGACGGCAAATTGTCCGTCGAGTGCTATTCACGGGCGCTAGATAAGTGCTACCAGGGTTACTGTCAGAAGTTCGCCAAGCTTCACAAAGGTAAACTCACATGTATATATCAGTCGTAGAACTCATACATCGTGGGCTAGGTTGCCGATGCGCTCGATCGTGGGCCCTCGTGTGAGGAGCGCCCTCAGAGCACATCCGGGACCGCTCAGACGGCCCGCTAGAGCCTCTGCGAGGAATTCTGATTCGCCTGCTGTGTCATTGTGTTTGCTGCGGAAAACGCGGAGAAGAAAACGTCGTTCCCTGGCCACTGCATTGTTTTCCCTGTATCGCTCCCTCTCTTGTGTAGCCCCAATGCCTGATTTTTGTGAGTGACCAGAAAAAACCCTCTCTCCGCCCCTGTCTATGAGGTCGCTCTTCTTCCTCTGACGTCGAATAATATACTCCCCGCAGTACGTCCAGCGGTGCCCTGCCCTCGCTCCCCCTGTCCTTCTTTCGATTCGTAACTCGTCGCTGACCAAAGCGCAAATTCCGCCGGGGAAATTCTTTAATCCTGTCAATGGTACGCGAGAGCCTAATACTCCATCGGAATGCGTCGTCGTCGAGGCTGCGACCGCAGATTTCGCTCTGCTGCGCAGGTCCTGTACAGGCAGAGGGTCGAGCACCGCCGAGCAGCAATGCTCGCTGTTCTTGGAAATGGAACACGATCCAACGTGAACAGATTCCTCTTCATCTGTCCGGAGAGGTCTCCAAGCAGGTTTTTCATTAATTTTCTCAATCTTCGCAGGGGCCCAGATCAGACTCAAGGATTTCGATGCCCTCATATTCCATTCGCCTTACGGAAAATTAGTTCAGAAGTCACTGGCGCGACTTGTGCTCAACGACTTCTTACAACACCCGAATTGTCAGGAGTATCAAAGCGTGATCGGATTCAAGGACGTCAAATTGGAAGACACTATTTTCGATAGGGACGTCGAGAAAGCATTCATTGCTCTGTCAAACGATATCTTCGTCAAGAAGACAAAGCCATCACTCCTGATTTCGAACCAGGTGGGCAACACGTACACCTCGGCGCTATATTCTTGTTTAGCGTCGTACCTGGGCAACACTGCCATCGAGTCAATAGCGGGAAGGAGGCTCGGTATGTTCTCGTACGGTTCGGGATCTGCCGCCACCTTTTTCTCGCTGCGAGTGACCGACGACGTGTCGAAGGGTTCTCCCCTGCAAATGTTGCACGAATCCTTGGCCGATCTAAAGGATCGGTTGGCCCAACGCATCAAAGTATCGCCCCTCGATTTCGGCACCATCATGAAGCACCGCCAAGAGACCCATCACCTCGGTGAGTGTTTCGCCCTCCCTGCGATATATCTTGTCTTCGATCAGCCGGTTTTGCTCTATCATCGTCCGCTGAGAGATTGATAAATCACATCAGCTTTCCTTGAAAAGTGACGGTCAATGAAACTCCTATGATTTTCACCCATGCTGTCTGTCCGCGTGCATTATTCCTCGGGTCCTCTCTGAGGTTGGAGACGCTCCGAAAGATAAAAGTTATCGGCATGCTCTGATTGGCTCCGAATTCCCCCAGCTCCGCACACCCCGGTCGGCTCGTTGGAAGGGCTCTCCGCAGGCACGTGGTACCTGACTCAGGTGGACGACATGCATCGGAGGACGTATTCACGCAAGCCACTGAAAAATCAACAATCACTTTCTAATGGCAGCGCTATAAAGGTAAGTCATGGACATACTCTTTCGTCTATGATCAGGAGAGAATGATCTCGAGCATTCAGGGGGCCCCCGAACGATCTTCGGAGATGCTACTTCCACGCCTCTCTTGCCCCCCTTCCTATCGTCCTGCAGAGTTCTAAAAGAGATAGAAGAGTTCTGAAGAGGAGTTTTCAGACTGAACTTCGGAGATCATACGAGCGGGAGTGGTACAAATGAATTGTTCTATTTGTTCCGGGGAGCATGGTTCGAAGTTTGGGCGAATGACTTTGGAAGTTCTTCAGCCATCCCATCGGTGCCATCCATCGCTCGAACCCGAGTTTGACTTCTATCCTCAGCTGACAATCTCTCCCACTCTACTTTCCAGGAGGCCTGTTTCAAGGACGTAGCAGGCATCGCTTCACAGTGCGCTGAAACCCTGCGGACGTGAGAGGTGTCGATTTGTTCACACGAAGCTGTCTCGAACGCGAAACGAAGTCTGGATCGGTGGCAATATTTACAAGAAGAGAACACACAAACACATTTCCTCTTAGAGATGACATACATAGATTCGAAAGGAAACGGTAGCATATCAGCAGTTCACAAATCAGCAACAACAACAAATCATCCCTCGAAGGGAGACTAACGAACGTACGAACTAAATCCGTTGAATCGGAAGAACTCACAAGGTCGGTCAGAGTTCTGAGACTCGCCCCGCGCTCCTTAAAACGCAGAATGGTTTTATAAAGACTCCCCAATGATTTCAGTTTCCCTCTTCCCTCATTACATTTCTTGTAGGTGTGGCTCGGATGTTCACCAGGAGTCCCGAATACCTATTAGTGCCCAGCTTTTTTATTAATCATCAGAGTCTGCGGTCGGTCGACTGGAATGACGCGGGGAGTCCTGACATAGTTACGCAACGATACATATGTGCCAGGATTCTTAGCCGAATAATTGTAGAGAAAGGTCGAATACCATCGGACCTTAAGCCAGCGACAAAGACATGTCGATGATTCCCGGGGTATCTTCAGAAGTTGTTCCTCCATGAAGAATTTTGTAACAATGCTTTTTTTATAATTCATCTAATCTTCCACTTCCGCTCTGTTATCTGTCCGCGATTGGTGTACGAAATCCTTGAGATGCGAAATATCCTGGATTCGGTCCCGATGTGAAAGCTATCTGTTCAGTTTAGCTGAATAATACCTACAAATACTAATCCTTCTACTCGAGCGTAGGGATGAGTTGCTGAGTCGTCTTCCACGTTGGGTTCGCTTGAGCTGGAGTTATGACTCTCTCGAAACAAATGAAGCAGACTTTGGTTGTACACTCGTTGGTTTTTTTCTTGTTCCATTGATTTACATGTACATGACAATCCTGTATTTCCTAGAGTCTTCTTCTCGCGGTGTGTAGAGCGAGGAATGACTAACGTAGGCGACACTTGGAGGGCTCCGACGACCGAGGAATCCTGATTCTCCGGAAGAGCCACTGTCAGGGAGGGAATACGGAAGGCTTGCGGGTTTCTTTCTCATTTCGTTCCGCCTCGGTTCAGCCTAAATTGAGAAACTCGAATTCCTGACCAGCATGGTTCGTTCGTACAGAACTCAGAAATGCACCACCGCCGACCATCCGTGGGACCGCTGCGATGGTTCCGACACCGGGTAGGACCCCTGAAGAAACTGGAACTTTAGTACGACAGCGTAATAACGATGGGAAGAGTCCGAAATTATGGGATTTCAGGGACATATGCGAGACACTCGCGCAGGGGAGGGCCCGTGGAGCCATTCGATCGATTGAACTAACCGAACACTACGTTGTTACATCGTGAAGAGGAAAACAATCGCTCTTTGGCCAGGGTGGTATCGATCCGGGCCAACGTAGAAATCATTGATAGGGTTATACATAGGAGAATTTTTCGACCTCATAGGACAATGGTAAACAAAGGAGGAAAGGATTGTGGTATCGGTGAATCGAACTCGGAACTTTAGTGCCGCCTTCGAGTGGGGAGCCGGGAGTATTTAGGGGAGGAATGAGAATGAATTTTGGAAAAGCGAAATCAATTTGTCAACTCTCGAACTTGGATGCCGGGCAGGGAGCCTTTTTGGAGACCTGAAACATTACCGAGTATGTGCCAGGTGATGATGGCGGAGATGACTTCACGGGAGTGAAAAAACAATGAGGAAGGACTAGTTGAAGCCGGCGAAGACGATGGCATGACGATGTGGAACGGCACTCAAATCGGGATATACCTACAGACATATTTATGAAGCTGTTACAAGGTCTTTCGAAGTTTGTTGCGCTCCTAATATTCCTGATACAGGCATAACTACTCTTTTACATACTCTACACGTGTACGAGTAAGAAGAGGATGCGTTTTTTTTGTCGAGTTTCGAGGTCGTTGGAAAGCGGTTGGAAACAAAAACAAAAGGAGGTCAGCGACACGGGGGCTTGACCACACCTGGAAATAAACGCATGGAGGATAAAGGATTGAATGGAGACGAAGTTGAAAGTTTTCTCGGTCTTGTATGCCAAGCCCGCCAGTGTTCGGTTTTCGACAGAAAATCGAATTGAGTTTCTTCGAGAGAGATGCTGTTCACACCGTGGTCCTTGGAGGAAGCATGAACATATTGACTGGAGGAGAGAGAAAGTTTTTTGATTGAAGCAAAAATATAGTAGTTTGACATGACTTTCCTCTCGAAAAGGTTTTCCGAGACTCAATCACGACGGCTCGGCATGAAACAAGCGTATCGATCTCGAAGATGCAAGGGTATTCGATGTCGATGGCGATTGCAGTGAGGGACACGGGGCGAGGCCGAGACGATCCGAGCGGATGACGGACACAGTCAGAGGGAGGAAACGGAAACAACCCAAACTACAAAGTTAGAGATGGACGAGAATTACATAGATTTATCTAATTTTTTCTCACTCCACGACTGAAATAGGCAACACCTTTTCTCAAAATAAAGGAAAAACCTTTTTATATGTCAACAACCATCTCGTGTGTTCCCTCTGCCAGTCCCAAGTCGCTCAACGAGGTCCCGGGAAGTCCAAAGAAAGCGAGCCTCCGACCGAGCCAAGATTCTGCGAATGATAATAATCAAGCCCAAGTCAAATCGGGTGAGCTTTACGATCATCTAGGATCTAGGTTGTGAAGACCGATCCCATTCAGGACAGCCTCTCATCGAAGCAGCCTAGGGACCTAGGAGCTGAGAGCGATTGAACTCAATCACTGCACCCTGCATAGGGATATTATGACTAGAGCCCGGACCTTCATGCACTAAAAAGAGTGGAATTATGCATGCAATTATGCATTGAAAATGGCCGATATATGCGGTTACAAAGTCAATTTTATGCATTTGGGATTTCGCGTACAAGTCTCAATTTTCACGGGTTACAGTACACAATGAGGTGTTGCTTCAAATGGTCGAATGTGAGAGTCTGAATCCGATCGCCTAAGGTATGTTTCAAGATCGAGAAAGTCCTCTCCACGTCGACTGACGTTATAGGAGCGAATTTTAGCGACGCAAGCCCGACGGCGAGTATTCGTCGATGCTCCCTCGGACGGGTTTCCGCGGAGTATATCTGTCACCTTGTCCAGGCGATGCAAGTCGGGATTGTTGCTTAGAACAAGGTCGCACTTCCTGCGGATCTTTTCGCCGACGGCTCCGGGGGTTCTGCGGAGATCTAGAAGAGTTTTCTTGAAGATGTCAGTGCTATCCACAACTAGCGCTTCCTTTTTCACAAGCATCTCGATGCATCTGGGCAGAATACCAAAGTGAGCTTCAATGAAAGCTAGGTTCTCCTTGAGATTCGCGCTCTCCAGCAGATCCTTGACAACACGGATACTGGAGGCGTCGTTTTCATCTAGAGCTGCTACTACCGACGAGAACGCAACAAAGTTCGCAGAATAGTAGATGGCTGCTTCTATCCAGGTTCCCCATCGAGTGAGAATAGGCTGGGGTGGCAAAGCCGTACCAGGTGCTATTTCACGGAATAGGCTGACCCTCGCCGCCGATTTCCGGAAAACTTTCTTTCCGTTGGCAACTACCTTGTCGACATCAGGGAACAAGAGCCGCACCTCTTCTGCCACCCGATGAATAGCGTGTGCGACACACGTAATGTGTAGCATCCGCGGAAAGATGATTTTCAGTGCCGACCCGGCCTTCTTCATATAGGCAGCACCGTCTGTGACTAGGAGAAGCACTTTGTCGTGTCGAATCCCATCGGGCCCGAGTATCGCAAGCGAGTTCAACATGTGTTGAGCAACTATTCTTGAACTATTGGTTTTCCCTAGAGTTTCTGCATGGAGCAGAAAACTTTTCGTCCCTGACATTTCGAGCGTGCCCACAACCGTGTGAGCTACAAAACGTCCGGTCACGTCCGTGCTTTCGTCCATGGAGAGCCAAATCGGGTTTTCCGCGATATACTCCCGAATGTTGTTCAGTTTGTGCTCGTAGACGCTCTGAAGATACTTTTTGCGGAGGGTCGATGACGACGGTATCTGTTCGGAACAATATTTCCCGAGGAAATCTGTCAGTTTCGAATTCTCTAATTTCCAGAATGGGATACCGGCGGTAACAAAGGCTTCGCAGAGGTCGAGCTTGAACTGCGACTTCTTTCTGGAAACTTCCAGGAAAGAAGCGATCTGGATCAGACTGGTTGAACTTGACTGCTTCTTCTTGTTCAATAGCGACTTATGCTTCGCTCCATTGAGATGCTGCGAAACTTGCGATTTTCGCTCGGCGGGAACATCCCGCTCACACACTTTGCACAAGATCACGTGTCCATCGGTCGACAGAACTCCTTCTCCTGAAAGCTTCACCTTAGACCGGAGCTTCGATCCGTGAGATTCCTTGATTTTCGGCATTTTCACAAATACAGTGCTCGTGAACGAATCGCTTCTCAGCTGAACTTCTGTTTACGAGACATTGGACGTCGTCAGTCACCGACCAACGCGTGGTGCACACGCCACACGTTTGAGCAGATAGTGACCAGAGCAAGGTTTGGGCGAAAGCTCATGCATGGCTCTTCCAGGACCCCTCACGAGTCAGAAGTCCCTATGGGAGCGCTAAGAGCGATTGTAACGATTTATGCAGAATTATGTTCCGAACAACCATAAATGCATTTATTCCAAAAAACGCCGATTTATGCGTTTCTATGCATCTTATGCATTTTGCATGAAGGTCCGGGCTCTAATTATGACCGGGGAACCTTCGAGAAGAAGTCGCGCGATCTTCCCGGAAACTGAGTTGAACTCCTTGATTCAGCAGACTCAATGAGGTAACTCGCGTATTGGGTGAATTGAGGGCCCAGTGCGGCCCTGCGGATCTCTATCTCCTCTAAGAGGCGGATTCCACGGCTCGGAGAAACTCGAGGAGCAGTGTGTCGGACAGAAAAGGTCTGGCGACGAATGGAAAATGCAGAGGCTGTGTGCATGACTTGACCCTAAACTACGTGAAAACGCCTTGCGCTCCTCTGTAATCAGATAAGAAGAACCGGAGCCTTTGCACGCGGAGTCTGGCAGCGGCTTTCTCGAGGATTTTTCGCCGCGGCCCACCTCAACTGGGGAGCGTGACCCACCGTGATCCCCCTTCCACAGGCTTCTTTTGCCGACGAAATTGCCCCACGGCTCCCAGCTGGGGCACTTGCTTGCTAGTAGAGGGTCCTTTGACTGCGAAGACGATTCGAGAGGGTTGATGAGCTCAACCATAGCTGCGGACTCCATCTCGACGATCGTCATCGAACCCGTCGATTTCTTCGGCGTTATCTGTATAGCATCTATTTCAAACTCAGCGAGTCCGCAGCTATTCTTCGCCACGAATGCTTCGCTCTTTTTTGACATAATTCGCGGAAGACTTGCTCGTTTCAGCCACATCCCCCCATCACGCGACTCGTTCTGGATATTCTAGCTTCCTGAAATACTGGTCTGAAGACTTCGATCTTGAAGGCGACAACTGTACCTTGACGAGGCTTCAGAATTCGGCAGCTTTCTTGGACTATCAAGGAAACTCCGCGTCCGAATTATGAGACCGCAAAAAGCGACCAGTCTCGGTTTAATGGAAGACGAAAAACATCCAACAGCTCAGCTGAGCCCAGGTTGAGGAGTTTTAACGTTTAGATGACCCGGACCGCCATATAGGGAGGAGGAACTCAGACGAGACCGAAGACGCTGCGGGCCAGATGCGAGTCGATCTAAACCCTACGGTCTGACGCGACCGGGGTCTGTAGATGAGTTGCATGCGTGATTTACCGTGGCATACCGTGAATCAGCTTCACTCGAGAAAGGTCGTTCCGTGACCGTCATCTTGTGGACTTTGTTCGGTTCTCCACGATTGTGGGGGGAATTTTGGGGATCATCGCAGGGAATTATGGTGAGTGCTCTTAAGCGTCGCACATGGAGGTCGTCCCATCTCGGAACTTCTGACTTCTGA